GGCAATAAAATATCACTTTTCTTTGTTTCTTTTTCATATAGGGATTCCGTGTGAGATTCTACATGTTTCTTTTCAAGGGGGGAGTTCTGAAGACACTGTACCCCTCAGCTAGCTCATTTGTCTCACGGTCTGTTTATAATAAATTCTCTACAACAGACCAACAGGTAATCTTAATAGTGTAGCTAATACTGAAGCCTTACTATCCATGAAACAGATTTAGTGGCTTTTCCCACATTACCTCTTATATCTTTCCAATGCTCTATGAGGTGGCCAGTGTTATTACTCTCATTTTACAGTCCGGAAATGGGGTACAAAGAGGTGAATTGAGGTGCCTAAGGAAGTGGTAAAGCCGGGGTCCCCCTTTTACCTACTATGGAGCTCTGTCACCTCACATAGAATCTTCCTGCCCTGGTGTGCATATTGCACATTCCTGCCTCAGCAAGGAGACTAATGTAGCTTGCCTCAGCTTGACACCATTCCTTCCTCCTCCCTGTTTAGCCAATTCACAGCCATCCTGAGGGTCCAGCTCAAGCCTTACCTCTGGAAAGCACGTTCCAGTTTGCCTGATTTGTGGGGCTCCCCCGCCTCTCTGGTCCACTGTAGCATTGGTTCATGCTAGGAAGCCTGTTTGTGCAAAGGCCCAGAAGTGTGTTAGAGGAGCTGCAGAAGTTCAGGAGAGGCATGAAGGCAGAAGCAGGGAGGGTGGTAGGGAGGGATAATGGTTTTGTTTAGACTTACCCTAGGGTAATGAGAAGCATGGAAGGGCCGTTGGTATGGCTTGATCAGAATGGCATTTGAGAAAGGTCACTGCACCTCAAATAACTGATTGGGGTTGACTGGGGTCAAATCTAAGGCTTGGGAGAATTAGAAAAGAGGCTGCGTCTGGTGCGTAGGTGGGAGGAGGTGACCTGGATTCAGCTGGTGCGAGGGAGAAAGATGGGTCAGGAGACACTTGGTGACTGCTTAGATATGGAGGCTGTGACCTCTGATGTCAGACTTAAAGGTCAGCAATTTTTAGATGCATTTCTTAAAAATAGACTTTATTTTTTAGAGCAGTTTTAGGGTTCTGAAAAAATGAATGGAAAGTACAGAGCGTTCCCCTACGTGGCCCTTTCTCCACCTCCTCCTTGTCCCGCAGTTTCCCCTATTATCAACATCTTGCATTAGTGTGGGGCCTTTGTTATCACTGATAAGCCAATATTGATAAATCATCATTAACTGAAGTTCATAGTTTACCTTAGGGCTCACTCTAAGTGCTGTACTCTTCTATGCATTTTGACACATATATAATGTCATGTACCCTTCATTACAGTATTAAAGAGTTTCACTTCCGCAAAAAGTCCTCTGTGGCTCCGCCTACTTCTTGCTTCCTTCCTCCTAACCCCTGGGAACCACTGCTCTTTTTACTGTCTCTAGAGTTTAGTCCCCACCAGAATCAGATATAATTGGAATCATGTCATACATAGCCTTTCCAGGTTGGCTTGTTTCACTTAGTCTGATATGCATTTGAAGTTCCTCCATGGCTTTTCGTGGTTTGATCCTTTCTTTTTTATTGCTGAGTAACATCACATTATATGGATGTACCACAAGCTTTTATGCATTTACCTACTGAAGGACATCTTAGTTGCTTCCAAATTCTGGCAAGCTGGAGCAGGTTTTTGTGTGAACATAAGTTTCTAACTCCTTTGGGTAAATACCAAGGAGCGTGACTGCTGGCTCATATGGTGGTTTTGTAAGAAACTGCTGAACTGTCTTCCAAAATGACTGTATCGACTTACATTCCCACCCGCACGAATGAGAGTTCCTGTTGCTCCACATCCTTGCCAGCATTTGGCGTTGTCAGTATTCTGGATTTGGGCCATTCTTACAGATGTGTAGTGGTATCTCACTGTTTTCTGTTTTTTTTTTTTTAAAGTTTTATTTATTTAAGTAATCTTTATACCCAATATGGGGCTCAAACTCACAACCCCGAGATCAAGAGTCACATGGTCTTCTGACTGAGCCAGCCAGGCACCCCAGTATCTTACTGTTTTAATTTGTAATTCCCTGATGACACATGATGTGGAACATCTTTCATACACTCATTAGTCATCTTGATATCTTCTTTGGCGAGGTGTCTGTTCAGACCTTTTGACCACATTTTAATTGAGTTGTTCACTTATTGTCAAATTTTGAGTTCTTTAGACTCATTTCTTTATTGTTTACTTAGTGTGGGCCTTCTCTCTTCCCTTCATGTTTCCTCAGTTCTGCTCACTCCTGATTCCCACTTGTGATCTTTCTTCCTGCAAAGAGACAACTCAACATCAGAGAAGCAGGCTCTTTGCCCAGCAGCAGAAGAAAGGATGCTGTTAGAGCATCTCAGACAGGGAAATACAAGACATATTTTGAATACTTGGTTAAAAGCACTAAGTTTGATAAAGACACATACACACACGCACACACACACACACACTCACACACTCACAGTCTTTCAGCTGTAGATTTACATATACACTGGGAACTGTGAATGCCGGGTAGTGTATTTTTGTAGTCAAATGACTGGGAAAAGGGATGTATCCTACAAGGCTACAGAATAATCAATCACCTGAATTGTTGCAAGCCTATGCTTTGGCCACTGAGGTGGAGTGCAGGGTGGGGTGTCAAAATATGGTTTTCTCCCGATTGGATGGGGGCCTCAAATGTGGGGCAATGATCCAGTGGGTGGAAGCAAGTGGCGACGGCAGTGAAAGGATTCACCTGAGGCAGAACAAAGGTGATAGAAGCTTATTGAATACACCGCAAGGGAGTGGTGAACAGGACAGCATAGGAGAGAGGCTGTCTACAAGGAGGCAGTGGGTAGGGGGCTGAATTTAAAGGGGGAAGGTGAGGAGGTAGGGTGACATATGGAATTTTCCCTTTTTTGATAACTGTGCTTGGTTTTAAGTAAGTAGACCATTGGTCACTTAGGGCCTATGGATATTTTGAGGTGGTTTCCTGAGGGGCCCGGCTGTATTCAGCCACGTGGTCGCTGTGGGCGCTTTCTACATTCCATCGTTCAAGCCTATTTGTCTAAAAGCAGCCTCTACACAGAGGTCTGATTTAACTAGTAAAGTACTTTAGGGATAAAGCTCAGAATGGTAGATTGAATCCCTTCAATCTACCCTTCAATCTAACCCTTGAGAGGCTATTTTATTTTAAAGTGACAGGGGAGCCATTGAGGGTTATTGAGCAGGAGTGGAAAAGGATCAGGCTGCTGCCTTCCGTAGCCTATGCTGATTACACAGTAATTATGCATTACTGAAATGTCACCAGGGTTAAAAAAACAATTGGAGCCTAAATGCTCCATCTTAGGAATTCTCCAACCCCCTTCCCTCTTTATAAATTGGGGTTCTTTCCTCCAAAACTGATGTGAGGATTATAGGAGATAGTATGTAAAGTATCTAGCATTATCTCATTTAATTCTTAAACCCACCCTTCCTCATTTATTTCTCATGACTCATTTAATTATTTTATTTCATTTAATATCCAGACCTCCTTGGAACTCTGGGGTATGGAGGACTAGTACCCAGGGCTGCTTTACCAGGCTCTCACCTCCAGGCTTTTCTTATTTGGTATATCACCGACGACAACCATGATGATAATAATTTTTTCGACAGGCCAGGCAGTTTGTTAAGTGCTGTACATGCATCAGTTCACTTAAACTCCACAAAATTATTAATATTCCCAATTAGTCGATATGGACACAGATTCAGACAATGTACTTTGCCCAAGGTCACCTGGCAATTAAATGAGGCAAGCAAGGCTTGTATTCAAACCGTGGCTTATCTAGCTAGCCCCTGTGCTCCTAACTATTAACTACACAAGGGCAGCCTTCCAAGCACTTTGTCAGGCCTTCTATTGGGAGTATTGACAGCATAGCATTGGAATCAGGCTCACCAGTTAGTCTCTCTCACTCGACTGAGTGTCTGAGGCCAAGAACTTGTCTCAGTCACCTTTGCTCCCCCAGCACCTTGCACTGTATTTGGCACACATTCGGCTCTTAATTCGTTCTTTCTACAAATACTTACGGCGTGTTTGCTATGAACCACGCGCTACACTAGTCCTAGGGAAATAGGACAGTCTTGCCCACATAGACCCCTTCGGTACCAATATAGAGAGAATATAATTTTAACATTGGGTAAGCATTATCGTAGTTACATGCATGTAAGGTACAAGCGACTGCCAAGTCTGGACAGGATTTCACACAGATTCATAGAGAAAAGCAAAGAGAACAATTAAAACTTCTTTCTCAAGAACAAGGGGATGCACCTTGTGACTGACCCTTGTGTTTCTTGTGAGCAAGACATTTCCCTTGAGCTACTTCCTTAGGTAATGTTTATAGCTCCAAGGGTTAGAATGCCCACACATTGGCATTGCAGTAGAGATGACGCCTTTTGTCGGGTTTATTCTCAAGGTAACACCTCCCAGAAGGAGGGTTAGGTAGGCAGCTGCACCCTTCCTGAAAGAAAACTGCATTACTGCAACCTTGCACTAGTCCTGGGGGTTGCAGCATTAGACTAGGACTTGCTCCCTTGGCTCTTACATTCCCGTATAACTTCAGACAGCGGGCAGGTGGTCTGGGGGAGAGAAGGGCCATTTCCGGCAGAGAGTTAAAGCCTCTACCAAGCGGTGATCTTGAGCTGGAATTTTGGAACTTTAATAAATGTTTAAAGAACGAATGAATGACGAATGACCATCGAGCTCGCGGTTGTCAAGAAGCTAAAGAACGTCTCTGGCGTCAGAATCGTAATGAAAAGGAGAAAGGGAAAAGAAACACTCAGGATTGTCGGAGAACGGCATTTTCAGAGCAACCAAGATCGAAGAGGGATTCCCGCTACAGGTTCCAGCGCCGGGGGCCGGGAGAAGCCCAGGAAGGCCTGACGGGCGGACCCGCGCACCGGCGGTTCCGGGGCCACGGCTGGGGGCGGGGCCACGCGAGGGCGGGGCTACGGAAGCCGAGCGGGTTGCGAGGTGTTTGGCTGAGGAAGTGTGCGCAGGCCTGCGGCGCTGGGCGGGGTCAGGCCCTCCACCGCTGACCCCCCCGCGCTCCCCACCCACGGCCGCACTTATATCCGCCCTCGCCGCCGTTCCCAGGGCCGAGACACAAGCTTTTAGTCGTTCGGCGGCTTCGGTTAGTGCAGTGGCGTGAGGGGCTCACTGCGGCGTGTGGGTCGGCGCCGCCTGGCCCGTTGCGCGCCTACCCTCCCGGCCGGCCGTGGGGGGATTCGGGCATCAGCCGAGCTCCTGCTGGTGTTCCCTGGCCGGTCCCGGGTATCCCGGCACCGCTTCGACGGCGGCTTCGCGGGACCCGTGGACCGGGTCTCAGCCCGAGCCCCGAGCGGACGGCGTCATGAGACACCTGCCGTACTTCTGCCGCGGCCAGGTGGTGCGGGGCTTCGGCCGTGGCTCCAAGCAGCTGGGCATCCCCACAGGTGAGCGCGGAAGGTCGCGGGCCCCCCCTCCCCGGCGCACCCCCCCCCCGCCCCCGGCTCCCGGGGCTGGGTCAGGTGGGAGCCGGGACGTCAGACGCGGGGCTTGGGGCGGGCAGAGTGACGCCCTCCACTCTGCTCGGTTCTTGCTTTGTTGAGGCGGAGGATCTTTGTTCGGATTGAGGAAGTTCGTCCTTATCCACCGCTCGGGGCTCACCGGGGACCGGCTTGAGGGGTGGTAAGGGCAGAAAGCCGAGCTGAGTTTCGGGATTCCCCCTTTCCCGCCTCCCTATCCAACCAGGCTAGAGCTGCCAGGCATGGCATGCGTCATCCCCATTAAATGGAAACATAATGTGAACCAGATTGGTTAAATTTCCAAGCCAACTGTAAGGTTTTTTTCTCTTTGTATGTCTTGTTAGCAATTGGATGAGAATCAGTTATCTTTTTTGGTCTGTCTGTATTCGGTTCAGTAGTCAGGACCTGACTGTATGAATAATTCATCCTTAAAAATACATACCAGGGTTGTTCCTAGTCTTTGCGTTTGGGACCCAGCCACGTATATTTTGAAAATATAGAATGGTGAGACTGATAATCATAGGCAGGATTCCGGGAAACCTCCGAGCATAACAATTTAGCCTAGCCTTCATGCGATTTTTATAAATATTGGCTGTGAAACTGTTAACACTCAGAATATTATTTCTGTTATTTAGCTAACTTTCCGGAACAAGTAGTTGATAATCTTCCAGCTGATGTATCGACGGGCATTTATTATGGCTGGGCCAGTGTTGGAAATGGAGATGTTCATAAGATGGTGGTGAGCATAGGATGGAACCCATACTACAAGAATACAAAAAAGTCTATGGTAAGAATTATATTTAGCTCTATCCCTGAAAATGGGATAGTAATTTAAGGTAATACTCAGTATTAGATGCACATAGAAATCATCAGTGGTACTCACAAATTGGCCAAATTACTGGAATTTTTGGCAGTTTTCTTGCAGGATTTTCAAGTGAAGTGTTTAGTTACTGTTTGGATTAACTTTTCATCCTTTCACTTTCAGTGTGTTTGTGTCTTTAGATCTTAAAGTGAATCTTACAAAATAAAGTGAGTCTCTTGTAAAAGGGGAAGTATAATTGGATTGTGCTTTTTGATCATTGTTAATCTCTGCCTTTTCATTGGAGAGTTCAGTCCATTTACATACAAGCTAATGACTTGTAAGGAGGGACTTCTGCCATTTTGCTGTTTTCTATAGGCCTTACAGCTTTTTTGTTTGTTATTTCTTCCATTACTGCCTTTTGTTTTTTAACCTTTTTTTTTGTAGTGACACATTTTGATTCTCTTACTTCCTTTTGTGTACTTTCTATAGAATTTTTGTGTGTGTGTGGTTACCATGAGTGCATTTAACTTTCTACAGTTATAAAATCTAATTTGGATTTATGACAATTTTGATCATAAAACTCACAAATTACATCCTTATACATTGTATGCCCAATAACATTAATATTTTCATGCATATATCTTTTAAAGCATGTAGCAAATAAAAAGTGGAGTTTCAAGCCTAATTGTAATATTAATTTTTATAGCTGTCCATGTGTTTACCTCAACTGGAGATAAAAGTGAATTACTTGGGGCACCTGGGTAACTCAGTCGGTTAAGCGTCTGCCTCTTGATTTCAACTCAGGTCATGATCTCAGGGTGGTGAGATGGAGCCCCTTGTCAGTTCTGTGCTGGGCATGGAGCCTGCTTAAGATTCTCTCTCTCCCTCTCCTTCTGCATTCCCCTTAAAGAAAAAAAAAAGTGAATTACCTAAGAGCATGTTTGATAAAATTGAGCTTGCTACAGTTGATATAGTTCATTCACCCTTTAATTAACTGCTCACCCTGCTAAGATAGAAATGCTTTCTCCATAGATGGTGCTTTCTAATAAAATTGCAAGGTGATGCTTTTTTTTTCCTCTCAAACTACTTTGAGGGTGTACCCTTCTGCTCTTTTCGTAGTACCCATGCCACTTAAGAGCTTAATCTGCTAGATAGGGCTGGATCTTGGTCAGGTTAAGTGTGTGGCAAAAACGAGTAGATCTAAATTTCGTCCTTTTTGAAGGGTTTGTAGAAGTCTGTCACAGTTGGAAAACCACAGGGCTAAATCCTGGTACAAACAGAAATGGTGCAGAATTGCTTAACATTGTGTTCAGTATTTCTTAGTTTTGAGTATTAAGGTTGTGGAAATTATTTGGAGTAGATAAAGAAAAGAACTAATACAAGAACACAAAAGAGTTTTCTGTAGATGGGGAGGAAATGAAGAGTAGAGGGAAAGCTATTCCATGATAAATTTCAGGTCACAGGACTATTACTGTAACAAGCCAGTGAAGGAATGCCTTCCAAGTCCTGCCAGAGTTAGAAGAAACTCAATTTTCTATTGGTAGGAGGTTCAGACTCCTCAGATTTTCTTTTTCCTCTTCTTGCCAATATCAGATATCTATGATGTGCCTGTTGAAGTCTTTTCCCCTTTTAAAAAAAATTGGATTGGCTGTTTTAATTGACTTAAAGAAGTTCTTTAGTATGTCCTAGATGCGCTTCCTTTGTTGGAATATGTATGCAAATATTGTCGCCTTCTGTGTTGCTTTTTTTTGTTTGTTTTAATGGGGTGGTGTCTTTTGAAGAACAGAGGGTCTTAATGCTAATATAATCCAATTCATCATTTCTCTTTTATGGTTTAGTGCCTTTTATATCCTATTTAAGGAATCTTTGCCTACTCCAAGTCATAAAGATACCTTTGTTTTCTTCTAAAAACTTGTCTTAAACTTTTCTCATCAAATTGATTTTTGAGTATGGTGCAAAGTAAGGGTCAAAATTAATTTTTTCCCATTTGGATATTGACTCAGCCCATTTCTTGAAATACCATTCTTTCATGACAGCACTGCAGTGTCACCTTGGGCATAAACCCTGTGACTTTATATGTGTGAGAGTCCAAAATGTGCTCATACAGACTTGGTCTCCTGGTCTGTCTTTGTGCCATTTCCACATTGTCTTTATTTTCATAGCTTTTATAATAGGCCTTGATTTCTGACTGTGTAAGTCCTCTACTTTTATTTTCAAGATTTTGGGAGGATAATTTCAGCCTTCCACATTTCCTTATAAATTTTAGAATCACTTGACAGTTTCTGTCTTTAAAAAGAAAAAACAACTAGGATTTTGACAGGGATGGCATGGAATATGTAGATGAATTTAGGAAGAGTAGACATCTTTACCATTTTTCTCAGTAATGTTTTATAATGATCACTGTTGATGCTTCTGTCTTAAGTATCACTTCATATATTAGATTTTCTTAAGTCCTACACAAAATATGCCTCTATCACTAAGTTTCATGTTTCTAGATTGTTTAAACTTCTCAACATCCAGTGCCAACATCCTAGTCCAGTCTCAACCATCTTCTGTATTTGTTTGTTCTCTTAATTGGCTCTCCTGCTTTTGGACTAGATTTCTTTTAAGAGTCTACTAAAATTCAGATTGCAGAACATCATCTACCTCCTCCGCCATTTTGCTTCGACATGTCCTGTACACATTTGTCAACATTGTTCCTTGATCAGGATCCTGCATTGGCTCTTCTGCCTACATGTCGGTCTTCAGTTCTGCCTAACCCTCGGAGGTTTCTATAACGTGGTGTTTGTCAGAGACACATGGATCCTGATTAACCTTAGAAATGGGTTTTTTTTTTTCTTAAGATTTTTTATTTATTTATTTGACAGAGACACAGTGAGAGAGAACACAAGCAGGGGAGTGGGAGAGGGAGAAGCAGCCTTCCCCCTGAGCAGGGAGCCCGATGCGGGGCTTGATCCCAGGACCCTGGGATCATGACCTGAGCCGAAGGCAGATGCTTAATGACTGAGCCACCCAGGCGCCCCAGAAATGGTTCTTTTAATAGTAACCTCTCTTAATACTTGGCTCCTTACTTGGTGGTGTTTTGTTTTTTTGTGTTTTTTTTTTTTTTTTGCCTTGATAAGACTTAATTACTCTGCATGTTAGTTTTTTTAAGGATTTAATTTTTAAGTAATCTCTGCACCCAACATGGGGCTCAAACGCAACAACCCTGAGATCAAGAGACGCATGCTCTACCAACTGAGCCAGCCAGGAGCCCCTGCATGTTAGTTGTTTTTTGTTTTTGTTTTTTTTTAAGATTTTTATTTATTTGAGAAAGAGGGAGAGCACAGAGGGAGAGGGAGAGGCAGTCTCTCTGCTGAGCAGAGATCCTGACAGGGGGCTCGATCCCAGGACCCTGGGATCATGACCTGAGCCAAAGGCAGATGCTTAACCAACTGAGCCACTCAGGTGCTCCCCCCCCCTTTTTTTTTTAATAAACAGCGAATCATACCAGATTTGTGGTATAACATCTGCCTTACTCAGTTATAATGTTTATATGTAAGGTCAGGGGCAAGAACAGGACTGATGGAAGAATTCAGGAAAAAACTGCACTTAGATTTCAACCTGTCTTTAAAAATTTAGTAAGCGTTGATTGTTTCATTTAAATTATCCCCACCATAAATGTGGAGACATATTTCAAATTTCAGGTATTCTATAATTTGATGGTAACCTTTTTAACATTTCTTAATTCTAGGAAACTCATATCATGCATACCTTCAAAGAGGACTTCTATGGGGAGATCCTCAATGTGGCCATTGTTGGCTACCTCAGACCAGAAAAGAACTTTGATTCTTTAGGTAAGTTCTGTTTAGGTCTTCTTAAGTATTACTGCAGCTACTTCTACTGCTTCTCCTAGTAACAGCATGGCAGGGGAGCAAACATTTGAGCATTTACTGTGTGCCTTACATGCATTAAGTCCTTTCACCCCTACCGAAATATATGAGGAATTATTTTGCCCATTTCACAGATGAGGAAATTGGCAGAGAGGGATTAAGTAATTTGCTCAGGATCACATCAGTATGTGATGGAGCCTAGATTCAAACCCAGCAGGCTGGCTGCTTCTCTCTCAACAGTTTGAAGTTAGTGAAATCTTTATTTCCTTTTCATATTTTCAGGAATAAGTGGGAATGGATGCTGAGATGAATAATGGATGCTTTGCAATGCTTAAAGTGTAAAACTAAATCGATACTTGAAACAAATGGTATCAAGGATGTTAGTGTAGTGTGGTTGTGTCAACTCTGTAGAATTTGACAAATGTGAATACTGAAGAGGCTTGGTCACATGGGTATTTCTTCCGTTTGGTATTTGTGACATACCTTTGTGCTAATGCCTTTCTCTAAGAAATTGCAAGAAGATCAGGGACATCTCTTGCGGACCATTGACTTTTACTTAAGTCTGGAAGAAGGGATAGAACAAACATTTATCAGGCATCTGCCCTGCGCTGAAGACACTGCCAGCCTTTGGGTTTTTAGGAGTCCAAACAAAGGCGTGGCGCAGTTTTTCATCATTTCCCTGCTCTCTTCTCTCCACAGAGTCCCTTATTTCAGCAATTCAAGCTGATATTGAGGAAGCTGAGAGACGACTAGATTTACCAGAACATTTGAAATTCAAAGAAGACAATTTCTTCCAGGTTCCTAAAAACAAAATAATGAATGGCCACTGATAAAAAAATCATCTTACTCTTATTTATTCATTCACTATTTTCTAATATTTTACTGCTTATAACTCCTCAGTCATTACATTTTGAAAATCAAACATTTTCCTACAGCTGTGAATTAGTTTAAACAGTACAGTGTCTTTACCACATTATGTTTCAACCATTCAAATTAAGCCCATCATGCTATAGTACTAAAGTGATTCATTTTGAAAAACAAGATTCTTTTCTATGTATTATGTTGATTAAAATTTACCACTAGAAAGGTCTTAAGTGTCTTATAATGGAAATGAGAATGTATATAAGTGTGGGTAAAAAGGCAAGTCGCTAGATTTGAGATAAGAACTCATAATTCTCATGGTACATAGTACGTATGTACTTGTGTAGTACGTGCTGCTAAACAGAGGAGGCTCATGAAAGTAAATGTATTCAACAGAGGTTTGAGAGTTGATTATAAACCTAAGGGGAAAAATCCAGACTTTATATTTTTGATAATTTGTCTGTTAATATATTATTGCAAACATGTAGACGTGTGAATGTTTTGTTTTTCCTCTTGTGTGAAGTTTCATTGTTGTCATTTCCTTTATAAGGTCAAATCATTGCACTGTGTTCCATTTTGTTTTACAGCTGCCTCAGTTCTAATTGGAGACTCCCCCTCCTTACCATTTTGTTTACCTCCTGAAGTGGTTTTTCTAATCTGTAGGTCTCATTTTTGTGTTGTTTAACACTTCTCCTTTCTAAGGGTCGATGTTCAATATTTTTCTTGACTTTGGTTCTTTTTTCCTTGAAACAATTGTCCGTGTTTTTTTTTTTTTTTCTATCCCATTTAGAATACCTTAGAACTGTTCACTTAGACAAAAGATTGCATCTATATCTACCATTCCATCCCTTCGCTATATAAGCAATGACTAAGTGCATATCCATATTGCATTTTAGGAAAAATATCCCCAAAACTTCATTAGGTTTCCTCAAGTTTAAATGAGCACACAGCAGTTCATTTGTATATACCATTTTCTTAAAGAACACAAAACATTTGTTTTCCCCCTAGGGAAGCCATTTAAGAACGAATTAAGTTATGAAAGTTGTTTATTTTTAATGTAATTACATGTTCCTGAGCAAATGTAAACTGTTGTAGCTGTGTACGCACAACGTGATTTAATGCTAAACAGTGCTTGTAGCTCGGGGGAAAGGCGTAAATGATAAAGTCTTAGTTACATAATCCTCATACTATGCATTTTTTCTTCCTCCTAACTAAGAAGTAATTTTTGGCTACTTGAGACTCTTATTTATATTGGCAGGAAGTTGAAATCTTTGGGTATTTAGGAAATTAAGATTACAGATTGTTTGGGTCTCCTGAAACAGTACCTTTCATTATTGTTCCCTTAAGCACCAGATTTAGTGTGGGGAAAGGGAGCAGAAGTACAGAGAAGGTAATTTTAAAAGTAACTCATTATAATTCATTTTCCCTGATCTGCATAAATAGAGAACAGTTTTTAAGAAAAATATAAAGTATTTAGAAAAACACCTAAAACATCTGGAGAAAGGGGAAGCATGGATAAAGTCAGTTGGATTGTTTTACTTTTTGGTATATGAATTTATGGCAAACAATGTAGTATGTGTCTTTCTTTTATAAAAAGACTTAGAAAATGTAATTTAATGTTAGAGATCCCATACTTGAAAGAAGCCGCGATTATTAGTGGCTTTATAAAGCAAAGATAAAAAACAGACATGGAAAGTGTAAAAACAGATTTGTGTTTGTTTGAATAGCCTGCTGCTAATTATGTCCTCATTAAGTGTGTGAAGTCTTGGTCACCTGACAACTTGAAAATCATATATTGTGAGGTTTAAGAGTTAGTTAATAGTGTCTATACTTCTTAAAGTTTTGTATTAAGTATGTATTATAAGAAATGGCAGTAGTACCATTTTTGATTAATCTGATTTCAGGCCTTGAAATAAATCTAAGTGATGTTTCTTTCCCTGTGTCGGTTTGAATCTTTTGCCTTGTCTGTGTGTAGGTTCCTCACGTGCCGGCTGGTGGTCCCTTGCCAGTGTGTTCGAGAGCCTGACTGGCAAGTTGCAGGTGGCTGCTCAAGGGGGAACCTGCTGTGCAGTGGTAGTTCTAGAACCAGGGGCTTAGCTTTGACAAACCCTTGTTGATGCCTGCAGCACAGGTTTGCTTGGAGAGCATTCTATTTTTTTTTTTTTTTTTTTTTTTAAGATTTGTATTTATTTAGAGAGCACAAGCTGGGGGAGGAGCAGAACGAAAATCTCAAGCAAACTCTGTGCTGAGCCTGGAGCGCGACACGGGGCTGGATCCCACGACCCTGAGATCACGACCTGAGCTGAAATCGAGAGTCAGACGCTTAACCACCTGAGCCACCCCGCCACCCCTGGAGAGCAGTCTATTCACAGGGTTCTCAAAAGCCTACTTTTCTGAGGGTGAGGGTCCCCATTATATTTTTAGTCCTAAGAGCCAGAGGACTAGAAGTCTGAGTTCCCTTCTGTAACTCCTGCTCCAAAACGATTCCACAGTCTCGGTGACTAGCAGCCCCGGGAAGGCCTGCTTGTGTCTGGCGTATGCAGAGGGACACATGCTGCTCTTTCAGCACCTGTCCAGCACTATCCGTACTGGGGGCTTACGCGTTTGCAGCGAGGGCTGCTATTGGAACAGCTGGGATCAGGGAGACGTAAGCTGGAAGTTTACTAGGAACTTAGGAGGACAGTTTTGCTTTCCTGGTAAGAGTGCTAGCCTTTTCCCCGCCCCGTAAATAATAAGTAAAGGTGCCCTGTAAAGAGATGCCATCAGAAGCAAGAGTTAGCAGCAAGGAATTCTAGAACAAGCTCTACAAAGATGACAGATACAGGGATTATCAGGTAGAACTTGACGTGACTTGAATATGTGTAAAGAAATGAGTGTTAAAAACGGTAAAATGAGGGTGTATACAAATTGGACGGAGGGGAGATACGTGGGGGATGAAGAAATAAAGGGGATTAAGAGGTACAAACTTTCAGTTGTAAGATAAGTCACAGAGATGAAAAGTATAGTACAGGGACTATATGAGGACAGATGGTGACTACACGTAACGGTGGAGCGCGCTAGTGATGTACAGAATTGAAGCAGCATGTGGTACACCTGAAACTAATATAATACTGGATGTTAATTTAAATACATTATAGCTTTATTAGGGTATAACTAACATAACAGATTGCACATATTTGAATTGTATGACTTGGTAAGTTTCGATTTATGGATACATACTTGTAAAATCAATGTCAGGATAATAAAATCACTCCCCGCCCAAAAAAAACCTGGGGAGAATAAGCATGAATTTAAAGTGGTATTCATATCTTCAAATCTGGAATGTCAGGTAAATTTAAATGTTTACTCTTTAGGCTGGAGGTGTAGATGATTACAAGATGCCAACGCTGGATGGGAAGTTAATTTTTGTGCCCCCCTCCCCAGTGTGTGAGCAGGTGGGACCTTTGGTGGAGGGTGGAGCTGTCGTGAATGGGATTGCCCTTATAAAATGTTACCCCAGAGAACTTTTCATTCTTTCTGCCCCGTGAGGACACAAGGAGAGGTCAGCAGTTTGCAACCCAGGAAGCATCTCATCAGAACTTGACCATGCTGGCTCAGACTGGCAGCCTCCAAAACTGTGAAAAATAAGTTTTTGTCCTCTTTAAGTCACCCAGTCTGGGGTATTTTGTTACAGAAGCTTGAACAGACAGAGGAAACCTGATGTGAAGCTTAAAATAGATGGCCTCCTCCTTCCCTGCACTCCTCTCCCTTCTCCAGTTCCTCCTCCCCCCCGCTCCTCCTCTGTCTCCCCCTCTCTTTTCTCTAATGGAAACAGGTGTGAGCCGTTGGGTTGGGAGTGAAGAAGGTACAAAGGCATCATCTATAAAATATTTGTAATTTTTTGCTTTGGAACTAGATTTGAGATGTCAAATTGCCGTCCTCCAGGAGATTAGTCCTAATTGTGTTCTTAAAACCAGTGCCGTAAACCAGTACTAGTTCCGTGGGTTACCCAGCACAGTGGGAGAGCAGAGCTGCTGGAGGGTATGGGGAAGGGGTGGGTGCCAGTCCCTGTACAGTCTTGAGCACTCACTATTGCTATCTGTGCGAGACCCTCATCTTTTTTGCTGGAATTTCAAGTTTATTAAAGGCTCTCCAACCAGTACAGAATTGCTATCAAATGAAGTTTTTTTTTTTGTTTTCAAACCCCTCCTGAACCCAACAAAACCTAATACTACTATTCTGAGATTTCCACGTATTTCAAAACTAGGACTGGGCGCCTGGGTGGCTCAGTTGGTTAAGCGACTGCCTTCGGCTCAGGCCATGATCCTGGAGTCCCGGGATCGAGTCCCACATCGGGCTCCCTGCTCAGCAGGGAGTCTGCTTCTCCCTTTGACCCTCCCCTCTCTCATGCTCTCTCTCTCATTCTCTCTCTCAAAATAAATAAATAAAATCTTTAAAAAAAAAAAAAAAAAAAACTAGGACTTTCCCTGGCCCAAAGCCTGACAAGCTGGACCTGTTCTCTACCGTTTCCTATAGAACTCGTTTGAGTACTTCTTTCGAGGTTTTAGAAGATGGAAGGAAGTGTTATCTTGGATTCCCTGCCCTTAAAGCTTCTTTTCTTCATTCCTTTTTACAGTCTTGGAAAAGGATGGATGATAATGAAATATCTGTTATTGTCACAGCTTCACTACATTGAGGATATCATGGTTTTTGTAACAGCACAGTTTTAGAAGTCAAACGCAGGTAACTGGGTGCACATTGAGCATTCCAAAGAAGAGTAAGGACCCTGTTTCACCATAGAGAGTCAAGATATGAGTGGTTACATTCCATCTACTGACCAAAGGTAAATTTTAGCTGTTGTAGCAACAGGAACTTCAGTGTGCTTTTACTTACATCATTTCAAGGTTCTTCACAATAAGCCTGAGCCATCTAGCTAGATATTGTTACCACTCTTCAAATGAAATGAAAACATCAACTCAGTCCAACTCAAGCTGTGTAGGAAGGAAGTTTCAGAGTTGGGTGTTGGAGCCCAACCTATTTCAAGAGGGAAACAGTCTTTACAGACTGAGCCTTATAGCAAGTTATTTTACTTCCCTGTGGCTTAGAGTCTTACCTGTGAAACGGGTA